TTACGGAATAAAAAAAAAAAAAAATTCTGGTAGCCTGGAAAAACCGTTGTTACAACGTGTGTGTACGTAGGTTAGAGTGGGCATACAAAGTAGATATATATAAACAGAGCGACCCATTTTCGTCCTAAATAAATGGGGCGACTTTTAGTTTTCAAGCGCAAATATTGTCGCATCAATTAAAGTGTCCATAGTAGGCGGCGTTGTGTTTGGAACACAAGCGGCGCCACCGTCCTCTCGAACGGTAATTTCTTTTTCTCTCTTTTTTCTCCCCCTCTCCCCTCACCTCTCCGCCACTTCCTCAATTCTCGACTTTTTTGCTCGAAAGGAAGTAGAATCGTGTCGCGCGAGAAAAATACACGAGACTACCGTGTTCCAGTGAGATAAAAGAAAAATATTCTCGATACGTATTAATTCAGAAAGATCTTTGCTTCCATCGCTGATATATTTGTCACGTATATATTAATCCAAAACAAATAATATATCTGTCTAAATCTCCATACATCAAACTTCGAAGGTGTTCTTCTAAAGAAACTTTTTCTCATCGATACGCGTACCCGTAATTATAATTCGTGATAGTTAAATTTATAAATATGACTTCGTATTCGAGTTATTCAAGATAATAATGTACAAGCTAATGTACTATGGATAATTTCGAAAATATATTTCACTCTCCTTGACTATTGTAACTCGATAAGTGAGAATAATTTTTACGACTTAGAATATTCGAATTGTACAGTTGTTCTCGCCATTGTGTAGCGCGTATATAGATGTCAGGACCGTCAACGAAGGAGACTTCTTTCCACCAATGACTATTCGATAAACGAAAAAAAAAAAAAAAATTAATTACAGAAAAATATTCCTATAAATTTACCAAAAAAAAAAAAAAAAAAAAAAAAATAATTACAAAAAAAAATTCCTAAAAAATTACCAAAAAAAAAAAAAAAAAAAAAGAAAAATTCGTGCATATTTGTCGTGCAAAACGTGTAATGGATAAGTAGAATTTCTCGCGTTCGACGAATAAATAAGGAAAACACGTGTACTAGGTCTCGTTTTGAAAACGAGCGAAATCTGTTTCTCGTTTGAGAAAGGTTCCTCGAATTTCATCGAGGCTGCTTCACCACCTTCCCCATCCTGCTGCTTTTACGTGTGTACACATCCACTTTTCCGGGACTTCCGACGGAAAGGACATCCCTTAATTGGCTTAATGGACTCTCCAAAAGTCACGACAGTTTGGATCGCTTCCTCCTCCTCCTCCTCTTTCGTCTCTCTTTCTCTTTCGTCGACGAAACGAATTTTCTCGATCGGATCGAGATTGAGAAAGATCGCTGTGAATTTATTGAATTGAGAAAATTTAATAAGCAGATGTTGCATCGAGCTCAAGTTCGTCCGAGTGAAGAGAAGGAAAATTAAGATGCGGAGAACGGAAGGAGGAGCAGAGAGAGAGAGGCAATAAAGAAATCTGTCAACGAGCCATCCATTCTCGAAAAGTCACAGCTCTCGAAGGAAAATGTTCAAAGGATACCGGCATGGATTATCTGATCGTTCCCTCGAGTCGAAAGTTGTATTTCGTTTATTCAAATTTCTAGTGAAACGTAGAAAGACTCTACTCTAATATTCTTCTTGCTCTAATATTCACAGGAATATGGTGGAACGGGTTCGAAAAATTTATTTTCACGTCTAAATCCGTTGAAAAAATTAGATAACATTTATTCGTAATTATTATAATCCGCTTTTCGTATAATCTCGTTTGCCAGTTATTTTCGATTATTATTATGTTTTGAACGATAACTAAGTAACTTTAATAATAATAAATAAATAATAAATTATTTAATAATAAGTTATCTAAGTAACTTTATTCGATTGTTAAATTTTTCCCATCATTGGTTGAAAAATTATTTTAATTAAAATTAAAAATTAAAAATTAAAAATAAATTAATTATTAATAATATAAATTAAAAATTAATTAAAAATTAAAAATAAAGTTACTTTAAGTAATTGCTTATTAAAATATTCGAGTAACATTTATTTTAATAATTATGATAATTTTCATAAAATATCGACCATTTGCCACTGCAATTATTTGCAATTTATTATTATGTTTTGAACGATAAATTATCGAAGTAATTTTATCCAATTATTAAAGTTTACCCATCACTGGTCGAAAGATTAATTAAAAATGTCGAATAAAATTACTTTAAATAATCACTTATTAAAATATTCGAATAACATTTATTTATAATTATTATATTCGCTTCGTTTGCGATTATTATTATGTTCTGAACAATAAATTATCGAAATAACTTCGACTATTAAATTTTTCCATCACTGGTTAAAAATTTCCAAAACAAAGTTATTTCAAATAACATTTATTCATATATCCGTTTTTCGTATAACCTCATTTATCACTACAATTATTATTACATTTTCCACGATAAATTATCCAAGTAATTATTAAATTTTTCTCTATCTAATTTTTCTCGTGTATCCACGAATCGAAATTTTTGTAATAACGATTCCGATTTTTATTGTTTTAAGAAAACTTTCTACGCGATATAAAAGTGTATTAAAGTGATTATAATAGTGGAATTGCAGATCGTAATCGTTAGATTATCGTTCGTTCGAAAGAAGAGTAGCGGAGCAACGCTTAAATTTCGAATATTTCTCGGCCGCGTAATGGCCGCTTGCCAAGCGGTGGTATCGTGATCTCTAAATTCAAGCCGGAGGGGCCAAGCAGAGGGGTAAGGAGTGTAGCTAAGTCCACTGCCGGATTTACGAGCACAGCCATTACGAGAGTCGCGTGGCTCGCTCCCAACTTTATCTTCGTCGCTCCACCGCCCGTCCATTTTATACGTCGAAGCCTTTGGCAGAAACGCGATAATCTATAGACAACTCGCCTCGCCTCGTTTCGCCTTCGGGCTACTTGATTCGTTTTCGAAATTCAACGCCTCGAGTCGAGGCTACAACTATACCATCTATTTTTCGTCGTTTCCATTCGAAATTTTTGAGTACTCGTCCATTAGATTTGACGGTTGATAGTTACGAATAAAGTTACTTCGATAATTTGTCGTTCAAAACAGTGACGGTAATCGGGAATGATCGTAGTGGTAAATGAGGTTATGTACGAAAAGCGGATCGGATTGTAATATAATAATTATTCGAATAAGTGTTATTTAAAGTGACTTCGTTCGAATTATTTTTAATCAGTTACTTTTTCGATCAAGTTTGAATGTAAACGAAAGAAGAAAGATTCGAAAATTGACGATCAATTTTTTCGAAACGAGAAAGACGAAGGGAAGGACTGGTCGAGTGAGGTTATATTATATATAGAAGCGGATCGATTACAATAGCTACGAATAAATATTATTCTTTATCTCTTTGTTCGAAATTTTTAACTGGTTACTTTTTCAACGGGTTAATAGCCAACTCTAGTCTCTCGTGAGAAAAATCTCTGGAAATACTTCTTTTCCATTCGTTCCAAGCTTCTCGAATGCTTGTTTAGAACAATGATGGGGAAAATTTAACGGTTACTTCGATAAAGTTATTTTAGTTTACTTGAAGTTATTTCAAAATAAAGTTACTTTAATTTATTTGTCGAAAATAATAACGATTTGAAATAACTGTAATGGCAAAGTTCGAAAATCACGCGAAAATTAATTAACAGTTAGAAATAAATGTTATTCGAGCGTTTTAACAAGTGATTGCTTAAAATAAATTTTAACTAATTACTTTTTCAACGAATTAAAACGATCAATTCTGTCCGAGGTCGAATTGGATTAAAATTGCTTATTCCTAGTGAGAAAAGTTCTCTACATTTTTTTAATAATTTTTAACAATTGAAGTTACGATAATTTATCGTTTAAAATATAATAATAATCAGAAATAATTGTAATGGCAAGGTTGTACGAAAAGCGTCAATCGATTATAATAGCATAATTTTATTCGAATTATTTTTAACTTAATTAAAAATTGTCCAATCTTTGTGTTAATGTCCAATTCTGCACAAGTCTGAAAAAGAAGAGAATTTATTATAAAAGAGAGAATTCGAAATTCGGATTAATTGTAATAATATAACTACGAATAAATTATTCGAACGTTTTAAACCAACTTTATTCGAATTATTTTTTCAATTAATCACTATTTTTTAATTCTGCCAACGAAAGAAGTATTCCGTTCGAGGATTCGAATAATCGACCGTCAGTTTTTTTCGAAACTGGAGGAAGACAAAGGAGGAAGAAGGGGAACTGGTTCGAATCGAGTCGTTGCAATTTTTTTTTCAAAACTTCCTTCTTGGAGAGAAGAGCGAGGTACCCTCTTCGGCTCACCCCGAATCCAGGCTTTATTTTGAACGTGGATAACGAACGATATAAGGAGACGATTTACGCTTCGTGAAGAAGAAGTCTCTGTGCCCCATAAACCATTCGAACGAATCGAAACGGGCCGGTAACGGTTTTACCTGCGCACCAGTTTTCCACCATTGGGCCTGACCTACCCTCCTCGTCGATCACCTCGTCGATATTTGGGCCACCGCTTCTTTTTCCACGCGATATCGTTCAACGACTTTCCTACCTGCCTATCCTATCCTTCTATCCTCTTCTGTCTTCCCTTTCTTTTTTTTTTTTCTTCTTTTCTTCTCCCTCTAACTTCGAACGGGGACGAGAAAAACTCGATCCAGATATAACGGGTGGTGCACGAAGAGCGACGGAGTTAATCTTGCTCGAGTAGTCGTGATAAATATTACGAGAATTATATTGCATTGCTAGAAAGGAAAGTAATTTCGTTTTAGCGACACTCGTGTCGCTAGTCGAACGTTTAGCCAGCCAACTTCATTCTAGAGTAGAAATTATTACGTTGCTCGGAAAGTAATTTCGTTTTTTCGCACGAGCGTCGCTAGTCGAACGTTTATCCAGCCAACTTCGTTCTAAACCGTTATTACGTATTTCGAGAGCATTCGCATTTCGTCGGTTTATTTATAAGAAAAATTTGTTCGATTCCGTCCGTGATTGTGTTTTTCGCGTGTGATAACAAAGATGAACAAGACCAAAAGGAGCATTTTCGACGTATTTTACTTTTTTATTATCGAAAAGGTAAGAATAGTGTTTAGACAAGAAAAGTTACG